TATAAGACCCTGTCTTATTTTTGGGAAACATGGTAACTATAGAAACGTGGTCTTTCAGGAACACTCTTTCCTTACCTGTACAATGAGAGTTTAAAGTACCTCTAAGGCTTCTATCAGGTCTCATAATCTATAAATCAATAGGTAGGTTGTAAAGCTCACATTGTGTGATGTTCACAACAAATAAAAGTTGTCTACCTGTGACTGATCTTGACTTTCTCATGAATCTCAGCCCTTCAGGGTTGGAGAAGCTATAGTCAGGCCAATCCAAGGAAATAATGTAACTATCCCTTTAAATAATACAAGGTGTCTCTCTAGGTAAAAATGCCCAGTCCCTTGAATTTCTTACTTCAGTCTTTAGTCCCTTTTTAAGCTTCTCTCCAGGATGGCTTCTGGGTATCTGGAGGGAGGGCATGGTCTTATGTTATGTGACCTCATAGCTAAGGAAAGATGCCTCTGTCATTGAACTTGCTTGGGTCGTGTGGCTCCTCTGAACCCCACAGCACTGTCTCCTGTCTGCTTCATTACAGCTGGACTTTCGTAAGGTCTAGGGCAGAGGTTGGAAAACGTTTTACATAAAGGACCAGATAGTAAATATTTTAGGCTTTGTGGATCATATGATCTCTGTTGCAACTATTCGACTCTGCAGCTGAAAAGCAGCCAAAGAAAAAACTTACCTATCAGGTACAATGAACACTATTCTGGTGACAGGCTTGCTAAAAGCCCCAACTCAAGCATTACTCAAGGTAGCCATGTTACAAAAACATTTTTACCCCCTTAATATTTTGAAATAAAAAAATAAATACCAAAACAATGAATTTAAAAAAAAACTTAAAAAGAAAATATGTGCACAGACAGGTTTTACAAAAATAGGCCACTAGGTTGGATTTAACCCACAGGCCATAGTTTTCCAACTCCTGGTCTAGAGGTTCCTTGGCTGACTCAGCTTCCTCTGGATTCTCACCTGCGTAGAAACCGGCCCCTGCTTCCTTACCAGGCAGGGCTCAAACTGGCTCCAGCTAGCTCCCTGGCCCGAGAAGTCCATCCACATACCTCTGTTGTAAAGTCACCTACTAATTCTAGGGTAGGCTCTCCAGGCTTCCAACTTTGACCCAGGTCACATGGGAAAAAAAGCAGGCTGCAGCCTTTTTCTGATGTACTCCTCCCTGCATTGTGTATGTCCCTCCATTTAGCTGGGTGTTTCCATAGCCATCCTGTCTTAATGCTTTGTCCCAAGAAGAAAGAGAAAAAATAAAAACTCTGGAGCTCACGGTCTCTAGTTCCCTTCTTTTCGCTCTCCCCTAAGATCAGAAGGATGAGTTTTCCTCTCCTGACCTTTATTCTTTTTCTACCATATTCTTATTCTCACATAGAAAAATAAGCTTCTTGCTCTTGCTTTGGAAGGAATATATATATATATATACACATATACATACAGAGATAGAGAGAACTTTCTCTGCAATATGAGAGAACTCTTTGAGTTCTCATTAATAATGAGAACTCTTAGTTCTTAATATGTTCAAGGGGGAATGAAGGAATTTTGAAAATCCAATCTTGAGAAAATAGCCTGGTTTTAGGACTAACATCTTTCTGCAAACTCCTGTTTTGGATATCAAGATCTATGCATTAACTCTTTCACTTTCTTTTTTTTTTTTTTTGAGACAGAGTCTCACTTTGTTGCCCAGGCTAGAGTGAGTGCCGTGGCATCAGCCTAGCTCACAGCAACCTCACACTCCTGGGCTCAAGTGATCCTGCTGCCTCAGCCTCCCGAGTAGCTGGGATTACAGGCATGCTCCACCATGCCCGGCTAATTTTTCTGTATATATTAGTTGGCCAATTAATTTCTTTCTATTTATAGTGGAGGCGGGGTCTTGCTCTTGCTCAGGCTGGTTTTGAACTCCTGACCTCGAGCAATCCGCCTGCCTCGGCCTCCCAAATGCTAGGATTACAGGCGTGAGCTACTGCGCCCGGCCTCTTTCACGTTCTTTACATGCCTTTTGGAACCATCACCACTAAACACGCACAAGTACTTCTAGTGGATGAGGGGAAAAATCTTGTATTCAGGAAAGCAGATGAGGAAAGCACATTAATATTTTTTCTAAATACTATCCCTGTTAAAAGTGAAAGAAGAAGCAAAATGAGGCAGCTATATAAGATACACCAGAAAAGCAGACTCATTGTAAACAGTTAGACTTTATCTTTTATTCAAATCAAGATTGATCACTCACCTTACTCAACATATGTGGTTCTAAATGACTCTGGGCTGTTTACTGTCCAATATACTCTCAAAAGACAAAGTTTCCCCATCCAAAGATGTCAGAAACATGTGCTGATGGTTTTGAGGCACTTCTGAAAGGGATAGAGTAGAGCAAAGGAAAGAACTTACGCTTCAGGGTCTTACAGAACCACATTCCCTTCTCTGGTTTGCCCCTGAATTGCTATGGTATTGTGGACGAGTTCTTTACTGTTTCTGAGTCTCATGTCCCTTATTTTTAAAACTAGCTTTATAATATGTGATATAAATACAACTACCTAGTACAGGACCTCATATACAGTAGATGCTCAATAAAAGGACTTTGATAGCTATAACCGTGATTAGCAGACATTTAAAATGTCTTTAGTCTAGTCAGTGGATGATCACAACTCTCTGTTTTGTACATTCTGTGTAAAGGGTTTTTAGTTAGTTGAACTGAACTCGGACTGAACTGAATGCTGCCTAGATAATTCTCCACTTCTTACACTGTGTTTCTTTCTTCCTTCTATGTGACCTCCAGCAGAGGAAAATTTAATAATAACTTGGTTGGTATAGGATGTAAGGACAATTTGTGATAAGAATTACACATAATTGCCTTTTCATTTTTTAAAATATTTTTTGTCTTTTTACTTTTAAAATTATAATTCTTGGTTGGCAAAGCATACACATACTAGTGGATCATACTACTTTAATTGACCAAACTGTCATTTAGACCCTTGTAGTTCATATCAAGAAAGAAGTGGGTTTCAGATTTGTATAAGCAATTTCACAGTTTTCCCATTTTCAATAAACAGATATGAAAAACTTGCCCTCCCCCCCCTTTTGGCTTCATTCTCAATAATACTTAGTGGAAAATGCATTGTTAAATGAGGTCAAATAACAACTAAGTTCAGAACCGTTTAAAAGTGAGTACCTATTGTTACGTTTCCTACAAAAAATTCCACACCGGAAAATAATTAGATCAGGTACCAAGCCCACCAATGCTAAGTCTGACTCCACTGATTTCCATTCTTTGTGGAGAGGCAGACCCAATGCTATTGCCTGAAAATTGTTTTTATAGATTTTAGTTTCTTTATTCCCATGAGAGAGTTCAAATGGCGCAGCTGCTGGGTTTATCAAAGTATAGCTGCAGACATCTGCACTGTGTTTTCCGATGTTTTTGATATTCCCTATGGTTATTTAAATGTACTGTGACTGACCTATAGCCCCATCAGTTTAACTTTACACTGAGAGTTTACTGAGGTGGGGATGAGAGTGAGCTTCATGATGAAAACTTATGTGCAGAGGGAAAATATGTCTCTGGGGAGAATGAGGAAGTAGACTAAAGAGAAGAAAAAATTATACCCACAAAGGCTGCCCAGATAAGAACCCCATAATAATAACTGAAGAACTGTGGAAAACAGGAAATAAATTTGAGAAATAGACAATACTTCCTTGGTCCATCTTGTGACCATCCTCTCTTTCCTTTGCCCATTTAGCAATTTCTCTAACATTCTATGCCTGGCCCAGGGGCACTTTCTCTAAAATCCCCCTTTCTGTGTACCATTTCCTTATTCTTCATTAGGATGTACTTCTTCTAGATCCTTGGCCACCCAGGAAATGGAATTGCTAATGTGAAGATCTGATATTAGATATAAAAGTGTTGGTGTCTGCAAGGCAGTGTCTTTAAATTCTACAATGACAGCTTGGGAAGCTGAGACAAGACAGGAGGATTGCTTGAAGCTAGGAGTTTGAGACCAGCCTGGACAATGTAGTAAGACCCTGTCTCTGAGAAAAAAAAAAAATTCTACAATGAGGGTTTGGGGAGCCTGGGACTTGTCTGACCTTAATGGAGAGAAAACCAATCATGGAAGCAGGCCAGTTGGGGAGATCATTGAGGGCAGGAAGCTACTCTGAAAGATAAGAGTTCCTCAAGTCATACCTGCTTAACCCAAGGGATGAGCCAGCCCAGAACATGCATATCAGAATACCAAGTTTCAGTTTGATGAGGATATTGTGCCAGTCTGTGGAAAGATGGCAGGATGGAGGGCCCAAATGCGATGACAATCATAGCAGCAGCCCACTAAAGACAAATGAAGAGGTCAGAGACTCTAAGAAGGTGTAGCTCCCAACACTGTGCCTGCTGCTACTGTACTTAAGAGAGTGGTAGAGGTGGAATTCAACAAAAAGGAAGGGAAGCAGCAGGATCCTTGACACAAGTTGGGTCTTCCCTATATCACTGAGAGCAGGAATCAGATAGGTGGTAACTTTGATTGCTGTGGAGCTTGGGTTTTACTTTACAGGCAGTGGAGAGGTTGAGGGATTCCTGACACCTTTGTACTATGAAGCCTAGAGACTTGTCTCAGGCCAGGTTAGCTCTCTGTTCTCCACTTTCTTCCTTTCTATGGATCTACTTCCCCTCAGGTGCCAAGAGCTGAGTTCGTCACACTTTTTCCTCTTGGCACCTTGTCGCCAGATGGGTCTATGCACAGGCCCTTCTTTATTTCATTATATTTTATTTATATTTCATCTTCCGCCTTCAGCCATCCCCACGCCCACCCATTCCGCTGTCCTCAGACAGGCATCCATTCTGATGGCTTGGAAGATGTCCTCAGATATTTATGTACCCTTGTAACTCATGTTGTGCTCTTTTATACGTGTCTGTGTTTTTGATGCACACAAGCAGTACTGTGATGTAATTTTTTTTCATTCAACACTGTGTTTAATGATCAAACTTGTGGCTCTGTGGATATTTTAATTTATTGTTTTACACTCCTGCATACAATAGTCTATCCACATTTTCTGATCCATTTCCCTAAAGTTGAACAAGAGGTTCACTGCCTTCTAGAACAAGCACTGCAGCAATCAACATCTTCTTCTCCGTCTCCTTCTGGATCCAGGCAGGAACCAAGACTAGGGTTGCAGGTAGGAGCTGCCTGAATAATTGGTTTTGCCAATTACTGGCAGATTGTTCTCCAAAGTAGCTAGACCAGTGTCCACCCCCTCTAACAGTACATGACAGCACCGTGTCCTTTCGTCCCCACCAACATATTATATTTTCTGACTTTGTAACTTTTGCCAAACTTATCTTTGTCAAGTGGCATCTCATTCTTAATATGTATATTTCTCTGATGACTAATGTGGTTGAACATCTCTTCAATAATTTGGTAACTGCTCAGATTTCCCATTATATGAATTTCTCATTTATAATTTTTCTCTATTTTTCTGCTGTGTTCCTTTCTTTTTCATAATTACTTGCAGGTACTCCTCATGTACTTAGATATTAATCCCCTGCTTTCTTGAATCATTGCAAACATCTTTTCCCAGGGTGCCACCTTTTAATTTTATCAATGGTATTCTCAGTTGAACAGAAGTACTCATGTTTGAAAATGTCATGTCTATTTTTTTTCTTTCTTTCTTACCTTATGACATGAATTTTTCAGACCTTGTTCAAGATCTCTCCAACTCTCAAGTGGACAAAGACTCTCTTTTTCATTTTCTTCTACTGGCTGCTATATATTTAGGACTCATTGATCTGAAGTTCACTTTTGTATCTGCTGTAAGGTAGGGATCTTGATTCATTTTTCTCCAAATAGTGAACAAGTTACCCCAACTCCCTCTGCTCAAGAATCCATATTATATGAGGTGACACCATTTTATATCTATCAAGTAGCCATACATCCGTGGCCCTATTTCTGAAGGTTCTATTTTGTTCCATTGTTCTATTTATTTTTACAGCATTGCCACAAAGCTTTGTAGTATCTCTTATTTCTGAAAGGGTATATGTCCTCTCTACCCCATCCTTTTTTTTATTTTTTTTTTCAAAATTGATGATGCTATCTGTGGACTTTTGTTCTTCTAAGTGAATTTTGGAATGTTTGTCAAGTTTCTCAAAAAATGCTGTTAAAATTTAGATTGGGGGCTCTTTGCATTTATGCATTAGTTTGAGGAAAACTAACATCTTAAAACAATATTAGGTTGTTGTTATATCCATGAACATACAAAATCTCTACATTTATTCAGATTCTTTTTTTACACTCTTTAAAAGTGTTAGATTTTTATCCATAGAGATCTTATGCAAGCTGCATTATTTTACTCCTAGATCTTATATGGCTGCTGTCATTGTGAATGGTGTCATTTTAAAAATTAATTGTTTTTAATTGTTAATGTAATGAAAACATTATTGGATTTTCATAAATTGATGTTGTCTTTGGCAAACTTTAATGAACTCTCTTATTAATTTCAATGAGTTTTTGATTCTATAGGGTTTTCCATTTTCCACTGGAATCCAGGTTATATTGACTTCATAAAGTGAGTTGAACAACTTTCTTTCCCTACTTTCTGGAACATTTTGCATATGGTACATTTTGCATTTCTGGAAAATTTGGTAGAATTTACTTGTATAGCAATCTGGGGTGGGAGGATTTTTATTATTTTTAATGGAAGAGTAAATTCTTTAATTATTTTTCAACTTCATCAATAGTGTGGATCTATTCTCATTTTATATTTCATCTTACATCAATTTTGGCATTTGTATTCTTTTATAGATATTTATTCTTCTCATTTAGGTTTTTAAGTATACTGGTGTACATATATGTGTATATATAATTCTAATTTCTAATTTCTTTCTGTATTCTTATTTGCAGTATTTCCCTTTTTCCTTCATTATTCTTACCAGAATCTTGTGTGTTTTATTGATCTTTTAAAAATTCAGGACTTGCTTTAGCTAAATTTCTCTATTTTTTGTGTGTGTCATTGTTGTTCAGTATTTTATTGATTTATGATCTTATTTCTTTCCTTCTTATTTCTTTGGGCTTACTCTGTTGTTCATTTTCCAACTTCCTGAGTAAGTACTTAGCTCATTAGTTTTAAATCTTTCTTGCTTTCTGATAAATATAAGTTTATTTAAAGCTATAAATTTCCTTCTAAGTAGTGATTTAGTGTGTCCTACAGCTTTCCATCGATGTATTTTTAATAATATTTAATTTTAAATTTCCTCTTTAACCAAAGGGTTTGGTGCATTTTTTAGTTTCCAGGAATAGGAATATATATTTAAAATGTTCTTTCTTATTATTGATTTCTTATTTTATTGCATATGGTCAGGTAATATTATATCATTTGATTCTTTGACATTTATTGTGCCTTCACCTATGTTCTATTATTATACATAGTTGATTTGTATAAATGTTTCATATGTGCTTGAAAATGAAGCATATTCTGTTTTAAAGATGATAGATATATACATGATAGAAGATAGATATATGTAGGTAGATAGACTCAAGTTCTCAATTTTATTTAAATCTTTTTTATATTAATTTAAAGTTTTTTTATTGATACATAATAGATATACATATTTTTGGATACATGTGATAATTTAATACATTCATACAATTTCCAAAGATCAAATAAGTATAACTGAGATATCCATCACCTTAAATGATTGTCTTTATTTTAGAAATATTCAAATTATTCTTTTCTAGCTATTTTAAAATATACAATAGATTATTGTAAACTAATAGTCATTCTACTGACCTAACAAACAGTAGGTCTTATTTCTTCTATCACACTGTATGTTTGTACCCATTAATCAACCTCTCTTCATCCCCTTCACCCCATTCCCTTCCTGGCTTCTGATAACCACCAATCTACTCTTTCTCTTCATGAGATACACTTTTTTAGTTCCTACATATGAGTGAGAACATGTGATGTTTATCTTTCTGTGCTTGGTTTATTTCATTTAGCATAATGACCTACAATTCCATCCATGTTGCTGCAAATGACAAAATTTTATTCTTTTTATGGCTGAATAATATTACATCACATTTTCTTTATCCGTTCATCCATCAATGGGCATTTAGGTTGATTTCCATATTTTGGCTATCTGTGAATAGTGCTGCAGTAAACATAGATGTGCAGATATCTCTTCAATATATTGATTTACTTTCTTTTGGATATATCCCAGTAGTGAAATTGCTGGATCATATGGTAGTTCTATTTTTAGTTTTTTGAAGAACCTCTATACAATTTCCATAGTGGCTGTATTAGTTTACATTCCCACCTATAATCTATAAGTGTTTTCCTTTCTCCACATTCTTGCCAGTATTCATTATTTACTGTCTTTTTGATAAGAGACATTTTAATTGGGATAGGATGAGAGCTCATTGTGGTTTTGATTTGCATTTCTCTGATAATGAGTGATGCTGAGCATTTTTTCCTATACTTGTTGGCCATTTGTATGCCTTCTTTTGAGAAATGACTTTTCAGGTCTTTTGCCCATTTTTAAATCAGATTATTTGGGGGTTTTCTGCCTTTGAGTTGTTTGAGCTCCCTATATATTCTAGTTATTAACTCATTGTCAGATTAATAGTTTACAAATAGTTTCTTCCATTCCAAAGTCTATATCTTCACTTTGCTGATTGTTTCCTTTGCTGTGGAGAAGATTTCTTACTTGATGTATCCCATTTATCTATTTTTGTTTTTTGGCTGTCTGTACTTTTGGGGTCTTACACCAAAAAAATCTTTGCCCCGAACAATGTCCTGGAGCATTTCCCTAATGTTTTCTTCTAGTAGTTTCCTAGTTTCAAGTTTTAGATTTAGGTCTTTAATCCATTTTTTTATTTTTGTATATGGTGAGAGATAGGTAAAGAGAAGTCTAGTTTCGTTCTTCTGCATATAATTATCTGGGTTTCCCAGCACCATTTATTGAAGTGACTGTCCTTTTTCCATTGTATGTTCTTGGTACGTTTGTTGAAAATGAGTTGGCTGCAAACTCATCTGTGGCCTTATGTCTGGATTCTCTATTCTATTCCATTGGTCTCTGTGTCTGTTTTTATGCCAGTACCATGCTGATTTAGTTATAACTTTGTAATTTATTTTGAGGTCGGGTAGTGTTTTGCCTCCAGCTTTGGTTTTTGTTGTGGTTGTTGTTCAGGATTGCTGTGGCTATTTGGGATCTTTTGTGGTTCCATATAAATTTTAGGATTTTCTGTTTCTGTGAAGAATGACATTGGTATTTTGATAGATATTGCACTGAATCGATAAATTACTTTAGGTAGAATTATCATCTTAAAAATATTAACTCTTCGAATCCATGAGCATCAACTATCTTTCCATTTTTTATGTGTGTCTTCTTCAATTTCTTTCATCAATATTTTATAGTTTTCTTTGTATAGATCTTTAACTTCTTTGGTTAAATCAATTCCTAAGCATTTTATATTCTTTGTAGCTATTGTAAATGGGATTGCTTTCTTGATTTCTTTTTCAGATTTTTGTTGTTGATATATATACAAGCTACTGATTTTTGATATGCTAATTTTGTAGCCTGCATCCTTACTGAATTTGTTTATCTGTTCCAACATATTTTGGGTGGAGTCTTTAGCTTTTTCTAAGTATAAGATTATGTCATCTTCAAACAAGGCTAAATTGAATTATTCCTTTCCAATTTGTATGACGTTTCTTTCTTTCTCTTGCCTGATTGCTTTGGCCAGCACTTCCAGTATTATGCTTGTTGAATAAAAGTGGTGAAGGGGACATCCTTATCTTATTCCAGATCTTAGAGGAAAGATTTTCAATTTGTTCCCATTCAGTACAGTGATGACTGTGGGTTTGTCATATATGGCCTTTATTATTTTGAGATATGTTCCTTCTATATCCAGTTTGATGAGGGTTTTTAACATATAGGGATGTTGAATTTTATTGAATGCTAATTCAGCATCTATTGAAATGATCATATGGTATTTGCCCTTGTATAACATTTATTGCATTTTGTATGTTGAATCACCGTTGCCTGGGATGAATCCTGCTTGATAATGATGAATTATCTTTTTAATGTATTGTCTAATTTGTTTGGCTAGTATTTTTTTGAGGATTTTTGCTTCTATGTCATCAGTGATACTGGATTATAGTTTTCTTTTTTGTTGTGCTCT